TTNAAACGANNTTTTTNTCANAAGTCNNTTTGCAAACGAAGTTGCAAACGACCGTTTCAACCACCCGTTCAAACGATCGTTTGATTGGTAACAAACGGGCGGTTGAAAGGTACCTCGTTTGCAAACGTGGTAACCAATCGAAGCCGATGAGTATAATATATACACTTCCTAGTTGCCTTTTCTTTAGAACTTGGCTATCAAAGTTAACATAACTATAAGATATGCAAATATACAATTCTTTCGTGTGATAGGCCCACCAATTATTTACATATATATATAGATTTGAATCTATCATAGTTTCGGAAACTTTCATAAATAAATAAAGTAAATGAGATGTGTGAATAAAATATACGAAAGTGAATCGCATTTTTTAACTTTCTAATTTTGTTAGATACTTTTTTATGGTTATAAAACCTTCTAAACCCAAAATACAGAAGTCCAATAATATTTGTTATTACATTTGTATAAAATCGACAGAGAATTAGCTAGAAAATCTGGCTCGAACTTGCTTTCCGGTGGCCGGCGGCTCCTTTAGTGCCGGCCACGGACCCCCCTTTGCTTGTTTATAGTTTCTTTTGCTTGTGTCTTTGTCTTGGCTTGGTGTTGGGTTTATAGGGTAGATGGATTCGGTCGGTTTTTGTGATTTAGGGAGATGGAGTCGCCGATGTCAGTGGCCCTTGGAGATTGGGTCATCTCTCGTATGTGTCTTCTTCATCTTTGTCTTGTCTCCTTCGTCCTCGATATGCGTCTGGGTTGCTCTCACCTCAGATCTGCTCGGCGTGTGGGTTCTCTTGGATTGGATTGGGTCCTGGCTGCAGGTTCCTCTCTCGTCTACGTTTGATCGGACATAGGTGATTCTTCCCAGATCGGAATTTTGATTGGTTCATTACGAGGTTTCTCCTCCTTGCCATGGCTCTTTTGTGTATTTTTCTTGTGGGTTTTAGTTCTTCCGATGATTTATGGGGATTGTGACAATGGTGTTGGTGCTTCAGTTTGTTAGATAGTGGTTCAAGTTCCGTTTCATGTGCAATTTCATTTATTGTAATTAAGTTGGTGGAATGATTGGTGTCGGTTTGTCCTCTAATGCAGCTTCTCCGCTCGTAGCGTCCTTCAACTTTTGATCTTTTGTGCTTATGAATCCAGTCTCTTTGGTTACTTTCTTTGGTGATGAGTCTTCATTTCAAGCTTTGTTGGTTACAGTTTTTGAAGAGGGGAGCGGTCTCGAGGCTCATTTTAGACTATTTGGGATGTTATCGCGCCTTCAAACTCTGTTGCTTTCTTCGTTTGGATGAAGTTTCTTCTTGATTGATCCCTTTGTTTTGGTTCCCATTTTTTGCTCATGCTTTGTCTGCTTGAGATGGTGACTTTTATGCTCAGCTACGGTGGTGTGTCTTTTGGACTTATGGCATGTCGGACTCGCGCCTTTTGGCTTGCCTTTTTTGTAGTCTGATTTGGTCTCGGTCCATCCACCATTTCTTTGCCTTTGGATATTGTTTGTGGCTGAGTTTGTGTTAGTTCCCATTTTTAGTAGTCTTAGCGGTGAAGTGCTAGCCTTGTTAGTTTGGATTGAATTTCATGATTCCTTTGATGTCCCTTGTATGGACTTTGTATCTAGGGAATTCTAGTTTGTCCGCCGGCTTAGTCTCTGGTTCCAGCTTTGTAATCTTTTCGGTTTTATTCCAAATTTAATAAATATTTTAGATGATAAAAAAAAAAATTTGCTAGAAAACCCTGAAATGAGTGAAAATTGGTAAAGTAGCTACGCTGATAAAATGGAAGGTAAAATATGTTGATTTGGAAGTGGATAAGTCATAATTACCCTTAAGTTGTGTCACGTGAAGTCGAGTTTGGGCGGGAAAGCATAGATACGGAAGATATTTTGTAACATAAGTAATTGTGTGTGTTATTTAGAGCGGACGTGGAGGGCTTAATAACCACAGAAAAATCTGAGTCATCCGTTAGCATTGAATATGGTATTCGTCTTAAATCGTTAGCATATATATAAAGTATGGATATATCTGGGTAATATTTCTGTTAACCAATGAAGGATGAGTTTATAACCTGATAAAATATGTTTGATAATGTTAGTTGGATATGTTTGAAACTAATTCTGGTAAAATTACTAAGAAACTGATAGTTGTAATCTTTAATTGGTTTATCTCATATTAAACCTGACCGGTTTATTTTTAGCTGGTTGTGACTCGTAATCCAATTTGTATATCAGATACTCGAAGAAATGTTAAGAAACAAAATGATAATTAATGGATATATGTTGCAACACATATTAGTCAAACAGTCAAATACAGTTAAAGCTAAAGCTTCACTAGAAAAGAGAAGCTTTAGCAAAATCAAAGCAATGTTTGTTTCTAAAATATTCAAACACAGTTAAGATGTTTGCCGTGTTCTTCAAAGAACTCCACAACACATTTCGAGGCTTCATCCTGGTAACAGTTCAGGTTGGAGAAGCTTGCAAGCTTCTACACCACAAAGAATAAAAAAAACATTGTAAGGTACTAATAACTGATATGACCTCGCCACAAACAATGTAAGCTTGCTTGCTCTACCCTCTGACCTTGCCCCAACTGATATGCGTCGTTCTCGTCCCCCACCTGAGACAGACACATCAACGGTATCCTTGGTTGTTCTTGGGTGGTCATTGTTGTTAGGCTGCAAGACAAATAAAACCGGTTACAATAACATATGGCCGGCTAATATTTATCTTGGATGGCTAGTTAATGAATAACCTGGTTAAGTGCAGGTTTACCCGACCACTGTTTTCCAAACCAGTTTTGAATGCAGCATGTCGGCGAAGTCACAAACACTAAAACCGTTTCAAAGAGAAGTTACCTGAACCAGAGACCATATCCCAAACCTATAAACCGCCAGATTTGAGGAGGAGAAATCCAGTTGAAGAGAAACCAAATCAGAACACGCCTCACCAATAGAAACCAGAGACCACCGAAAACGGTTGAGAACCACCATCACCATCAGAACCCAACGTCTCAAACGAACTCAGATATGTTATTAACCCAGATCGGAGGCTCCAGAGATGCTCAAACCAGGCCTATTTTCTCGGGAACTTAACTCCGACAAAGGCTAAAACCAAAACATGAAGAGAAAACAAGGACTGGTGTCGGCGCTAAGGAAGCCGCTGCACACCCATCAAAAGGATGGCTTCGACGGTCTAAGCGAGAGAGAGAGAATTGTTTTTTCCTTTTTAATATTTTTACATACCATTAATATCTGAAACAGGCTGTCATATACATATATTATGACTGTAAGAGCGTCATTAACGCTTACTCACTCAAGTTCTTA